GAGGTTGGTAGGTGGGATTTTTTATCAGCACCCGAAAGATTGTCACCATCAAAGAAAGCACCCAAAAGATTTTCACCATCAAAGAACAGTTCACCACATCGGCTGAGCACCTCCATTCTCGATCACTTGTTACATTTCAGTAATTCAATCTAGTAATGTATTCGACACAGCAAAACAATTAGATCCACCTAGAAGCTGAGGATGAAGAATAGGGAAGTTGAGCATTCCAGCTTGGGCATAAAAGGGTGGGGAAGGGGGGCCTTGGTCTCCCATACTGTGGCCACCTGCACTTCCCTTTGGGAAACGCTTCAATATGGGTGGTAGCTCATAACTTATTCGTTACGATTACGATGCATAAACCTGAAGGTTTCAGCTCGAATGGCAGCCATTGGATTTGTGATGGGACCGATGCTTCACGGCTTTTATCGCATCTTGGATTCGAGGTCATTTCGTGGTGGACGGCAAAAAGTCGTCCTAAAAAAACTTTGTTGTGATGCCATTTGTATGCCGATATTCTCATGCACATTCATAACAGGTTTGTGAACTGCTTCCGTTACTTCTAACCTTTTCGTAAAAACAGGACGGGTCCTTTTTATGCCAACAACTAGATTCATGACGAGAAAGTGATGTGCTGGGAACCTGTCCAGAGGTGATAATGGAGAGTAAGATATCAACATTGATTTCAGCCCTCATATTTCTGTAGTCTACCAATTTCCCCATGTCTTCTCGACCTCATAGCGAGAGCCTGAGCCTCCTTTTTCATAAGGACATCAGAAAATTAACGTTCGTGCCCAGGTCTCTTTTTAGGATCGTAGAAACATCTTGCTCTGAAACCATTCCGTTGGTCCCGGAAACGACATGGTGCTCTCAGGAAATAGCCTATTTGTAAAAGTAACAAGGCACTCTCCGAGTAGGCCATGGAATTCACATTCATCTGAAATATTCCCAAGCAGAATCAGTCTTCATACGTGCTCGGCCCATACCGTGAGGGCTGAGAAATGTAGGGGACAGGTATTGATTTTTCGAAGCGAATCTGATACCGTAACCCAACAACGGAAGAATGTATTGATTAATTAAACAAGAATATAATTTTCAGATCATTCTTGTGATGACGAATTTCTCTTGCGACTATCCTACCCCCAACCTCAAATTAAAATGGTCTAAACAGTACTCGACATTAAATAATAGTTAATGTTAGGGACAGGGGTCATCTTAGGCTCACTGTAGGCGATGGGCGGGTTTCGTGCCGTACATAACGGACCTCTTTGGAAACCTGAATTGGGCTAGGGGAAAATAGGAAAGGAGGTTTTAGCGCTCTATTATTGGTGGGAATTAGCAAAACTCGTCCAGCCTATGAAGCGCCCAGCGTGATCGACCCTTTGAGTGTTGCTCATTACTGTAAAGACTGGTCTTACTAGTAGAACTGTAAAAGTTCAAACAAGTTCATCTGTGAACCTTATTTACTTTGCGAACCATCTTTGTAATCTTTTTTATGAGTCGTTGCGCTCAACAACCGCTTAGGGTGGTACCCCAGCACTCAACTTCCTTAGCTGCCATTATGATTCTAAAATGTGGTCATACGCGTGGCGTATCCTAGGATAGGGTCGTTGGGCCAAGCTATACTATACATATTAATCGTAGTGTAGTCCAAAACCTCAATCAATTATGAGCAATTTCCAGTGGGCGGTCTTCTGGAAGGATCCTCATTTTCAACAGCATTCTCAGAGTATAGAAAAAAGATGTGGCATATTTTCAAGGTATTCACTAAATCACTTTCACAAGGCCATATCGTCTGTATCACACAGTGAAATTGATTTATTGATTTCTTCTAGGTGGACGTGTCAATTTGGCCACCAGCACAATTAATTTCATTCTGGTTTTTACCGCCGTCGGTTCGGGTTATTTATGTGAATATTGTATCATTGATGTATAATTGTATTATGTCGTATATAAAAAATAATGACGTCACTGAAATTAAAAAATCAATATAAATCTTTTTTACAGTACCTCGTCATCTATCGGAGAGGTTTTTTCTCGAGGTGTGTCATGAGGTGTTGTCTGTGACTAGTAGCGTAGTCAGCAGTGCGCGCTTCTGCCCCGCTCAGCTCAGGTCAATAAATTCTTTAGAATTGAAATTCCCCGTTTATCTGGATGTATTCATTCCCTTGAATAGCTTTCAACTGGTCTTTAGCTTATAGGAGCCTTCAATCCGCCTATGGTCCCTTCTTTGCAAGGGTAGCCGTCCTGCTAGCACTTTCTCTCAGCTGAACGGAGGGGACAGTAGAAAGGCGGCCGACAATTGCATTTTTCTTCAAAAATCTGGCTCTTGTTGTTCATTGAAAAACACAGGCTCATTGTTGAGTCACAGAGAAGCCCTGCACTAGTCTTCATAGAAAAACTCTGCCCATATGGCCTGAATGTCGATGTAAAATTATGGTCTTAGACACATCTGTCGCTGGCCACTCAAGCGTCCTCCGATTTCTTACGGTTTTAATGTTCACATCTATTTCCTCTTATAAGTAATTCTACTCGTTTACTCTCGAGTTTTAGTCAAGTAGTACTGCAGTAATGTTGAAAGTCTGTAATCAACCCTTTCGAGTGATTTGGCATACCATTCATAACAAGTATCTCTCCATTTGATTACTCGATCCTGAGCTATCGCTGTATCAATGATTATATTCAAATACTCGGATATTTTATCATCAGTCGAGTATTTTTGCCAGACCTTGTATTATGAGTATTAGGTGATAGAAGCACATAGGGAAATCATGTCTACCAAGGAACGAGTTGTATCGATTTCCGACTTCCGAATTCTCAACCGGTCGGCCTATTATTCCCGGGTACTCCAAAGCGTATCTCGAATGAGAGGTCTAGTCGGCTATCAGATCGCGATCTCCCTTCAACATTTTCTTGTTTCAAACATTCTTCCTTCAAAGGGCAGGTGGACATTACTTTTCAGTATCCATGCCTGGTNGGTCTTTAGGTTCGCCCCTTAGTGCCTTACAGCCTTACGATCTTGCTGAAGCTTTCTGTCCCGAAACAATATCTTCGACCGGCTTCCTAAGTGAGGAAAGGGTTAAGCAGGGCCTGTTCTATGAGACCAATCACTTCCACAGGCTGCTTTTGGAAGGTCTCGACAAGCGCCATACGAACGAAAGAGTCACAATCTGGAAAAGCAAGGGCTGGAAAGGCAAATATTGAAGTTGGCATTAAAACTTTTACAAGAGTAATTGAACTGTTTGAAGTAATCCAGTCTACGCCCCGTTGATTGGCTCCAATAAATAGCTACTAGCAACATTGAGTGGTTTGAGGTTTGAAGAGGGTTGCCGAAGGTCACGTTACATCACTCACCTAACCTTAACTTGACATTGAAAAACGTGATTATTCACCTCATCCCAGACAGCACTGACTCACGGAGACGCTTGAACTGGTTTGCGTGATTGACTCAGTTGAGTGAAAGTTCACACGAAAACGGCGTTGTACCCCGGTTACTACGATGACAGGTGAAGAGGGGTGTGTGAATGCCGATGGCATGATCCACTCGACATTCAGACAGACAGACAGACAGACAGACAGGCTTGTTCCGCATCCTCTCATCGTCATCGTACTCGATTGTGGCAATTTTCCACTTTTTCGCAAGGTTACGTGACGAATATCCGGCCACGGTTGTTCGTTCGGTAATTGCGATCGAGCCAGCCAGCAGCAGCCATCGACGTACCTAGCTCGATCCCCGATCCGCACCCACCCAACCAGGCCAACCGCCATTGCCCCCGGCTGGCAGTAGCCGACTGGCGTGGCCGTACCATCATCACCCGTCCACCCGTCCACCTCGAGTACCTGTACCACATCCGATCACATCCGACCACATCCGCCCGTAAACATGACGATTATCCGCATCCATTGTGATCAGCAATGGATCAAACCCTTAATCACCTCATTTACGCCTGTCGTTGTTTGCAACGGGCCTGGACAGTTCCTCTGTCAGGTTTGGGTAGGTAACAAACTTCTCTCCTATTCAAACCATGTCACGGGCATCTTGTTAGCGAGGCAGAGGAGGTGGGGAAGGGTTATAATTATAGTTGGCCATTAGGGCTTAAAATTTCGTTTACTTATTCACTACAAAGCTTAAAATTGTGTTCACTTCTTCATTTCTTCTTCTTCGTCCAACCCGGCTGGTCCAAATATGGCCTCCCAATGTAATTTTGGGCCGGTCCGCTCAGCCCTGACCTCTGAACTTGTTCATAAACTAACATTCACACTTTAAGTTCTCTGCGGACCTTGATGGCATTCACTGCTCACCTGAGTACTTCTGTGACAACTAATGTAGTCACTTTCTAGTAGGCTGGCCCTTTAATGTATCCATGAACAGCCTAAATAGATTCTGTCCATTGAATTTTGAAAAAAAATCTACTCGTTCTCCTTGATATGCCCTTTTTCTTTGAATTTTTCAAGTTCAAAACTGTTCCCGTTTTGCCCTCAGATTCAAGGTGAAACGGGAACAGCACCTAACCTGGGAAGGGCAAATGCTACCTGCTACTATTTTCAAATCTTCGTGATAATTTCGTGTAATAATATGGTATCATTCAAGTTTTCGTAAAATTTCCTACTGTCACTTGCGTATTTCGTCCGTCTTCATAGCGTAATTCAACCCCTCCAATCAAATAATTCCTACTGTCAGATTGATTAGTAGGTCAACTCAGATCAGTATGACCGGAGTACTGTGCCTTTCTAACAATGTAATGCTTTTTTTNTTTTTTTACTATCTAAGCTCGATTGAAAGTTACTGTTTTCGATTTGGTTTTCGCAAAAGAGTTATCGAGAGGCTTCTCATTTATTATTGAAAACCTTAGGTAGGTATCCAGTAATTAGTAGTCATACTGTAAAAAACAAAATTTTTTTTCGATGTGTTGTATTAAGTTATGGGCGAAGGTTCGGTTATGAGGTGGAAATACTGGATAGCGCTCGAAAGTAATGGGTTGTCCCAAAAGTTTTAAAAAATTACCTACAGTATTTTCCCCTAATTCCTTTGGGTCCTAAGGGGAATCTGCATAACCTGTTGATGGGGTGATGAAATACCATCAAGCCACTTTCCAGTTGAGACCAAAAGAAAGTTGTAGGGAAATACTGTAGAAAATGCTTAAATCTTTTGCGATACTCTAAGAATGTACTTTCTCTGGCTATTCGTTTGTTGTGTTATGTTGTTTTCTGTCAGCTTTTTTTGTTGTTTTTCCTTTCTAATAATCTTCTGAAGTCCCGCTTACTCTATTGGTTTTTTTAAAGTAGTAAATTCATCATTCCTCCCGTAGAACTCTACAAAAATTCACCGAAAGAGTGCGGGAACATAGAGTGAGAACTCTTCTGATTTTTGGCGAGTTCACATTATATAGTGAAACAATAGGTATTGATTTTTTCGCTAGGTCGAAAGACTGGGGGTGACGGTGAGGAAGCTGCATGTCCACCCTTTTAGGAATGGCCCAAACCTGACTGCTGGCAACAACTGCCGGCCTTCTGTACTTGTTCTATACGCTTCCATGCTTGACTGAAAATGAATGTGAATCGATGAATCGTATTCCGTGCATCGGTTGCGTGAAGTCAGGTTTATTCTAGGTCGGTTGGCACATTTCCAGAAGTCTCGGATGTCCTTCAGGTATGAATGACACGTCAACGGAGCTAACCACGTCATGGAGTATCGAAGGTATTGAAATCAAATGGTTGGCCGAATTACTTATCCATGATCGATCGACTAATAAGTAAGTCGGGTTTACTAGTTCTTTTATAGGCATGCTTTCCATCAAGGTAACCTGTTAACAATGAAAAATTTCCCGAAAGGTCATGCCAGGCTATAAGCAGGGCACATTTCCGATTTTCGATTCATTGTCACATCGATTTAGCATTAGCCATTGCCATTTGCCTCATTAATTCTCAAAAAAAAGTCGAACGATCGTTTTTCAAAATCGTATTTGAATTTGCCGCCATCAGCAGTTTTCTTAGGAACCAGAAACGATCTTCCACTACTACAAATTTTTTTTTTATTTTCGCCCATGTAATTCCGGCTATACCATGCAGTCACATCGTGAACAGCATTTTCCATGCGCATAAAAGTTATCGAATTTCCTTGAACACGCATGAAACTGGTAACTATTTAGTAACTCCTTTACGATACGCTCATTGAGAGACTCGCGGAATGAGTATTGGAGGTCACCCTTTCTCTGACCGCTTCAATCTTTGTAGGTGATGCATGGGGGCCCGTGCTGGGTCTGTGGCGATATCTATTCAGAACCAGTTAGAAATAGCGAGATTTTCGAGGCTCATAAAAAGTTATAACTCGTCCAGTCGTCCATTGGAAATTGAATCCGAAAGCCGAGTTCATTTTCTCCCTCTTCAACCACCCGCTCCACGACGCACCCTCGAAATATGCGAATCTTGAAAAAAAAGTGAAAAAAGGATGAAATGATGAGGAAGTTGGTGGATTCCCTACCTGCATTCGTCACTTGGACTTCTATCTGGGAACGACGAAGACGAGTTGATGGGGAATGCTTTTGTGTGGCTTGCGAGAGTCTTGCTATTACTGATTTTAGCTCCGCCCCATACGCGTATTTATCTACAGCATATTTGGTACATGGACGAGCTGAAAAAACCCCACTGAGTCTCTGGCTGTAGTTGAAGAGGGAGCGATTGAACCATCTGGAGCAACTGCTGAAGTTTTATTGCCCCTTCTTAGCGCATCCAATTAATTTTTCTGATAACTAACTATCCTACTCGTAACATTTACCACATTTCATTTTCAAAACTTTCCGGTCGACATAATTCGAGCATTCGAGCATAACCAGTTAATGATCCTCCTCGAAAAAACGAGCAACGAACCATTTTCGAAAAGTGAACGCAACCCATTCATGGAAACTGCCTCCTGACGATATACATTTCGTGGTGAAGTTTTATGGAACTGTTGTAACCAGTTTTGAAGTCTATGGTTACCGGAAATTACTGGAAA